GAAAAATGTGTTCACGTAATGACAGAAGAAAGCTCGGAATTGTTCCGAACATCGCGAACGGCACAGCGGTGAATTCCGCCATTCGAAGGATCATTTCGTGGAAAAATCGTGTCCCGGTGCCTGGAAGCACGCGGAACCATCTCTCCGCATCGTTCTGCGATGATTGTACTACGCGCATCGCAATCTAAGAGCCTCTCCGCGATGTATTCCGTTGTCCGCGTGATGAAGCTTGTCGCCTGTTAACTCTTGCGGGCAACAGGAACAACGGTGGAAGCGTCGCTCGTTACGGTTTCTTCGTCGTTGCGAGTGAGTAACTACGCTCCGAGAATTCTACGGCTCGTTTTACGAGAGCGATTCAGCCTATTCCGCCGCCGCTCCTCCACCTGTTCCATCGCGTCGAACCCACACCATGCGCGTCCGTCTTCGGCCACCGATCAAAGCCCTCTTCGCGGTAGAAATATCGAATTTCTCGCGTCGATATATATGCATACATATTCGAAGAACCAGACCGCCGTGGTATCCCCTGGCGATAACGCTATCTTGAAGAGATAGCCCGCCGAATTCTTCTCGGTAGCGCGCAAACTCGACGAACGAGAGAGAGAGAGAGAGAGAGAGAGAGAGAGAGAGAGAGCGTCGAATGACGCAGAAGGTCGAGGTCGCCCGGACCGGAAGAACATAATCTGCTTCTGTTTCGTGGAAAACTCTTATCCGGGCATTGTCTCGCGAACACAAAAGCGTCCTCGGCACGGTATGCAAGCGTTACGAGCAGTCCGTCGGCGACAATGCCTACGCTCGAAACCGATAAACGATTTCCGGCGAGCGGAGGGCCCCCCCGATACTTCTATCGATCCGCGATAATCGAGACACGATCGCGAGCGTGCATTCCACGCCGATTAACGGGGCGCGCGCGTTTCTCGCGGTGTTTGTCTCCGGTTGCCTTTCTGCGAACGCGCGAACCTGAGAATGTTCCAGCAGAAATCGAACTGTTGCGCGAGATAATGGGATTCTCGGTTTCCTGAACTCGCGAGCAACGAAGCCACGCCTCCTCTTGACACGCCAAGCGCACGTTTCGTCTTTTATTGTCCGCTTAGTCCGCGTTATAATGTGCCGCGAAATCTGTGGCATGTTATAGCATTATTGTAAGCATCGCGTTTTCCAAATGCGAACAGCTGTGAGGACGTTCTTTTACTTGGAATGGGGGCGTGGCTTGCTGGCCCCGGCTCAAAGTCAGCGGCCCGTAATTGTTTGATATTTCCCGAGAAGTTTTCCGTCGTTCGGCGCGTCTCTTGGCAATTTTTGCCAAAAATACACAGACCGGGCTTTGCTCAGATTTGTTGAGGCGGCCTGGGGGCGTGGCCTATTGGCCCCCAGGCTGGAGCCGATGGCCCTGGCCGGCCAAGGTGCGGAGTTGGGTGACGCGGTTGGCAATCGATACGATGTATATTGCGGAGCGGCTGTACACGTTGCACGCCGATGAAAAGCGAGGCGTCGCGACGCATCGAAGTCTCTTGAAAGCGAGACGGATAGCAGAGACATCGCGCTCGCGCTGGAGAGAGAGAGAGGGAGTTGAACGTGAGCGTCCGCCGGTGGACGGTCGAAATTCCGAAATTCCGGACGCGCCGAACTGTTATCTAACCCGTCGCGTCTGGCTCGGCGGGCACGTAGCAGCGTCGTTCCTCTCGGCGTGCACCCGCCGGTTTTCGCATTAGTCACCGGTCGGGACAGGGACAGGACAGGAGACAGGAGACAGGAAAGGCGAAAGGCGACTGCTCGTAGACCAGTTGTAGGCGCACCGCTCCGCTCCGCGCCACGCCGCACCGGCAGGTATATACGCGCGTATTTTGTTCCGCTTGAGCGACCACCACCGTCGTCGTCGTCGTCGCGTTCGCCGTTGCTTAAAGAACCAACGATTTCCAGGTAGAACGCTTGCTTGCTTGCTTGCGTAGTAGCAATCGCCGGAGATTACTTGACGACAACGGCCACCGGATAATCGCCTCGTGACTCCGATACTCGCCGGCAACCGCTGCTGCTGCACACCGGCGCGCACCGCGCAACCAGACGTCTATTTTCTTGGACATCGTCGGATAAAATCGATCGCCGAAATTTTCTACCGCGGCTTTCTATTACGGAATCTCGAACCAGCGATCTCGTTGCACGAGAAAACGCGATGAAAGGAATTTTACGCCGGGTTAACGCTGGATTTACGGAGCTCGGGAAACAGCTGTTTTATAGTGGATTATTTATTCTGATTTTTATTATTATATTATTATTATTATTATTATTATTATTATTATTATTACTATTATCATTATTAGTAGTAGTAGTAGTAGTAACAGTATATTATTATTAATTATTTTATTATATTTTGATTATTGCTGACATTTATCCTGATTTTTAACAAGTTTTCGTGTTCTCTCGTGCCGCGATCGCGAATCAAAGATTTTTAACGAAGCCGTAGCGGGAAATGTGAACGATCGGCCGACGATGTCCACGAAAATAGGTGTCTCGTTGCACCGTGTCCGCGTGTACAGCTTCTTCGGGGCCGGCTGCTCTCGATACTTGCAGCCGCGGATGACTTTCGCGAATCGATTTGCTCCCCTCCCGCTTCTCGCGAGCCCGTGTTACGGTAGGTCGTTCACCGAGCTCGCGAATCTCCCTGGTCCTGCGTACCAATCCCGCGAATTATTATTGTTATTATTATCATTATTATTGTTACTCGCCGATACGCTCTGCCCTGAACCCAAACGCTTCGAGGAACCGCTTCCGCTCCACTCCGCTTCGCGCATGGATCATCGCCTCCAGAATCGAATCTAACGAGACAACTTCAGATCAATTTCTCTACGAATGCACCATTTTTCGTCGGCGGTTACAATGACGAGAACTGTTTCAGCAACGATCATGTTTATATAGTCTACTAAATATGGATGCTAATCGGAGTCTTTTAAATTCATAGAAAATTGTAACATTTCATTGGCTGTATTTAAACATTGAAATCAAAATTTCACTGAGAAATTTACCCGTGACAGAGAGGCATTAATCAACGTAGTCGCTCATCGGTAATGCAAGAGAGGTTATTAATGCAACATGGAACATATAAGAATAATTAAGCACTTTACACACAATGCCGTAACACAATCAAAAGTTCGTATTACTCATTGAAGGAGCGTGCCATGTGAAATTAGCGAATGCCACTGAACGCGTGAACAGGACATTACTATTATAGAAATCATCGTTTCACATTCATATTACTCCATCGCGAGTCAGCGATGGGGTTAATGGGGTTCAAGGGGTTAACCAATGCCTTTTAGATCAATTTTCTCTAGATAAATTTCTCTCGGTAAACTCTCCCCAATTTTCCTCGAACTTACAAACAAAACTGGACACTTAGAGAAGAGAAGACGCTCGATTATCCTCGCGACTCATTTTTACAATCACCGATTGCCGAAAATTACAAAAACGGGGGTGCGATGCTCGAATAATCCCCTCTTCCCCGAATCGTTCATTTTTATGTGGACGATTTTTATGCGCAAATCTTTTCATTGACCGCGGTCCGTTCGTTCGGAGCAAAGCGACAAATCGAAATCGAACAGCTCGGGAGGACTCCGACACGTACCAACAAAACATCACTCGACAGCGGGTGGGCTGTGGGGAGGGTGGTCGGAGGAGACTCGAGTTCGGAGAGTCGAACGTTCGTAAAGGCGATCGCCGGGACTTCGGGGCACCGATGTCGGGCCCCGGGGTGCTCGGAAAAATCTCCGACCCTGAAAATCCGTGTACTTTCTTCGCGAGGCGACCGGTCGCGTCGCGGTGTTGTTCGTGCACAGGGAGGAGGCCTGGTCGAGTCTCGGGACTCGGGACCCCGCCCTGGAGTCTCGAGCCCCTCCGAGCCCCTCTGTCGCGACACGTCGGTCCTATGGCGAGGAGCGGCAGGGCTGCCACCATCCGGACCGAGTCCCGGGGTGCCGGGCTTGGCCGGTACGTTCCTGCCTCGCTGTCCCGTCTATCCCGGAGCTCATTCTTTCACCGACCGTCGAGCAGTGCAGAACGCGGTCGCCGTAGAACGACGCGATCTCTCTTCCCGGTTCTCGGAGCACGCCGACCACACTCGCAGATATTCGAAAGCTCGACGGTTCGAGATAAAGAAAGAGCGCGCGAGAGATAGAGAGAGAGAGAGAGAGAGAGAAAGATCGTCGAATCGGAAGCAGATTTCGGGTCCACGAGGGTAGGATCTGTTCGGGGCAGTCTCGGTGCGCGCGTTGCATCGACCGGACAAAGAGGATTCGGCGGGTACGCAGCCGAAACTCTCTCCTCGACGGACGGCGGGAACAAAGGAAGGAGAGAGAGAGAGAGAGTCGCACACAGTCTTCTCTCGGGAACCGATCGATCGGTCTCTCTTTCTCTTTCTCCCTCTTTCGGCACGCATGGCGTGGTTGTTCGGGCCGGTGGTGCGCCTCTTCGCCGATTGATCGATCGAGTCTCGGGCTCGCCAGCTCGGGGGTGAGTTTCCTTGGATCTTCGATCTCGTAATGTGCAATCGTTTGGTTCTACGGTTGGTGGTTCGTCGTGCCTCGTTCGTGTAAATCGCCCTCGTGTACCTGTTGGTGATTACGTACTTTGTCGCGGGACCACGATTATCCGCGAGACGACCGGTAGTCGGGAGAGGAGGACGAGGCTCTGTTGAATGTGTGTGTGTGTGTGCGAGGAAAAATCGAGCGAGAAAGGAGGAACGAACGAGAGTGTGCGTGCGTGTGTGTGTGTGCTTGAGGGAGTGAGAGATAACGAGCGAGCGAGAGAGTCCGAGGGCGGCAGCAGCAGCGAAGAGGAAAGGACGAGGTGGAAAGAAAGAAGGAGAGAGAGGCGGAGGGCTCGAGAGAGAGAGAGAGAAGGAAGGAAGGAAAAAAGAAAGAAAGGAACGAGGCAGAGAGAGAGAGAGAGAGAGAGCAATACTGGTGACAGAAAGACGGCCGGACGGACAGACGGACCGACAGACGGACGCCGCTTCCCCTCCGCTTCTCTCTGTTCAGTCGGTCGCGCGTTACCGAGCCTGGTGGATGAGTTCGCGAACGCGCTCTCGCTTCGAAGCTGCCGCTGTCGTTTTCGTTGTCGTTTCTGTTTCCGTTGCTGCCGCGACTCGAATCGTCCAAGAGCTCTCGAGCCACCGAGTTTTTCGACGGTGAAAATAAATATCGATATCCGCGCCCACGCGACCGCCAACCTCGTGCGCGTGTGTTTGCCGGCCTGGCCAGCGGACCAGCGGGGAAAAATATCACATCGTCGCTCTCTTCTGCCGTGTGTCTAGACGCTGCGCGACCTGTCTTCGTCGTCCTCCTCTTTGTCTTCGCCGTCCTCGTCTACGGCGTCTTCGGTGATTGCCCGCCGCTCCTCGAAAACCCTCTCGGAATAATATACCCAGTGTGTTTCTTGTGGCGAGCCGCGGCGAGGGACGCTCTACAAGGGAAAGATTCCGCCTCGACGAGCTACTCACGACGCCCTCGACCAGCGAGGTGAGTACCGACAGACACCCCCCCGAGAAGTGCCGGGCTTCGTGCCCTACGAAATCATTCAGGGTCTCCTGTTCTCAAGTGCTCTGAAATGCTTCGAAATGCTCCGAAATCGGCCGTTCTACTCTGTTCCGCTCTGAAATTCTCCATTCTGCTCGCGAATGCTTCGAAAATCCGCGAAAGGCTCCCAAATGCTCCGGAATTCTCGGAAATTCTTCGAGGTACTATTCTGTGCTCCGATATTGGTCGCTCTACTCTGTTCTGCTCCCAAATGCTCCGAAAATCCGCGAAAGGCTCCCAAATGCTCCGAAATTCTCTGCTTCTGCAAAAGACAGTCAACGTCCGTCCCCTCGCGCCTCGTGGTCCGGTTAGGCCCTTCGGAGGGTGCCTTCCGCGTCCCTGAACCCTCTGGCCAACGAATTCTACGTCGGTGGAACTTCCGGTGGCCATGCGAACCCTCGGCGAGCTGCGAAGCCCGCGTCCCGAGTCGTCAAAACGCGTCGATCGGTCGTATTTCGACCAGTTTTTCGGCGAGCCGTTCGATAATCGCTGGGCCAGAGGCTCCGGGAGCGCGCCGCAGGCGGGATTTTCGAGCGTGTATCCCCGCGCCATTTTGAAGATGGGCACACCACCACCACCGGCAATCGATATAGCAGCCGGCGAGCGGGCACAGCCGGCTTTCGCTCGAGCTGCTCGCCCATGGAGACCCGACTCGATTCGACTCGAGTCGAGTCGAATCGACTGGACTCGGCCTGCTCGGATCGGTTCTCTCGGTAGCCGCGATCGATCCTTGTTGCTCCTGCGGAAAGGTTGCTCTCTCGTCGCGATCGTAGGATCTTCGAGGATCGCCGAGGATCGTCGAGAGCGGCCGGTTACGCCATCTTGATTCCCCGTTCCCCCACCAGTTGCCGGTATTAACCCCCGAACGATCGACCGGGCGCGCACACGATTTTCAGACCCGCGACCGGTGACCTTTCCTCCTCGCGAGAACCTTCTTTCTTTCTTCGCGAGGAGCTTCTTTCTGGTCGAAAGCGAAATCCCCGGTCGTCTTTTCTACCCTTAGAGGGTCCAGCGATCCCTGTCCTCCCCTCGATTGGCCGGCGATCTCTTCCGGAGGATCGGGAGGACCGACGTCGCGTCTTAGGGGATCGAAAACTCGCGGAGCGAGGCTTTGTCCGCTCGCAGATTTACCGGCGTTCCCTTGTTACCATGGCAAAAGAGAGGAGAGAGGGATAGAAAGGAGATACGTTCTTGCCAGCCCGGGTGCCTTAAACAGAGGCGACGTTTCTGCCTGCCTGCCTGCCTGCCTGCCTACGGTCTCTCTCTCTCTCTCTCTCTCTCACTCCCTCTCTCTCTTGCTCTCTCTTTTTATCCGTCTCGCCTCTTTCTCTCTCCTTTGTGCCGATTTTGCATAGCAGGCCTCTACCTGCCGCGCATTTAAAACGCAGTCAAGGCTTCCACGGAAGCGATTGTTGTCGCTTGGGGAATGGCAACCGGTGGAGAAAGGCCAAGAAAATGCTGGCTTGGCTGGGCTCTCTGACTCGCTCCGACTCGCTCACCGGCTCGCAGGCACCTCGGGTCCGCTCTTTCACTCGTCCGCTCTTTTCCTAGCTTCTTTGACCAGATGATTTTCCAACGTGGATCGCGAAATTCCGCAGGAAATTCTCTCGGAACGGCGCTCTCGGCTTCACCGCTGACGGACTCTTCGGGTAGCTACGAGGTTTAATCTTGGTTCGAGGCATCGATTTCCAGGAGATTCGTTTCCGATTCTTTTTGTTCGATCTTTTATTCGCGTCGTTACAAAGCGGGAATAGTAAATTGTATAATAACGATAACGTAGGAATAATAACGACGGTAATTACAGTAACCGGTAATGACAGTAAGAATTGAGATGCTCGCGTATAATGGTGAATATCAGCGGAGCGTTTGAGCGAAGCAGTGGAATTGAAATAAAAAATAATCGAGAGAACGGCGATATAACGATTGGCATCGATGAGATTTGAACGGTTTATACGGTAATTAGTAGTTATTATATGGGAAGAAAATAAAGGAGAAATTGAAAACGAGATGGGAGGAAAAATGAAAGAAGCCGAAGCACAAATATACAGGATGTCCCGTAAATGTCTCCCAATCCGAAAGTAGGGGGTTCCTTAGCGAAAATGCATTCCCCAATGAGCGGAACTGGGCTCCGTGCACTGGTTGGCTGGGCCGCCGCGCGTCAGCCGAGCTCGCCTCTGATTGGTCAGTGTTTTTCGTTAATAACTCGTAAACGAAGCCACGGAGAAAATTTTCGAAAAGGAAAAAGTTGCTCCGAATGACCTCAGAAACCTCCCATTTCCGGATTGCAAGACATTTTCGGGACACCCTCTATAAATGTTGATCAAGATCGTCTCCTGCGAGGATCGAGGTTCGCTCGGTATCAGGAACGAATAAGCAAGACAGCTGCGTCTTCGCTAACAGCGAATTCGAGTTTCTCCGGCTCGTGGGAGGGGAGATGAAGAGTCTGCGAGCTTGCTGAGAGAGGCCCCGGTCTTCCCTCGGCAGGCTCTCCTCTCGTGTGCACCTGCGTTGGCATATTGGTCAACGTGCGTTTCGCCGAGGTTTCGCGATTCGCCGCGCATCGCTTCCCTCCTCGTTTTCCCCTCGTTCGCCGCAATATCGGCGGCAACCAGTTTCAGCAGCGACGGGTACGCGGCATCCACGCGATAACGGGTCGTTAACTTGCCCACATCTGCCTTTCTCTCGTTTACGACGACCAAGAAAAGAACCGTCCCGTTCCGTTCCGTTCCGTTCCATTCCATTCCATTCCATTCCATTCTATTCTATTCCGTTCCGTCCTGAAAAAGAAATACGATAGACGAATTAACCGAAAAAAGTGGAACAATTAGGCTAGCAATTAGATTATTAGGTAAATCGAGCCTCCGTCCTCGGGAACGAATGGAAACGCGAGCGGAAAATTTGGGAAGAGCTCGAGGTGGTCAATCGAGGGAGAAAAAAGCGGGGGGCGAAGTTCGAAAGGCCGAGGGGCCCGGAGCCTGTTGGCATATTCGTAGCGCAAGATCTATTCTGAGCAGCACGCGTGCACCCTTCGAAGGCCCGTGTAAACAGGGGAACGGACCTTGCCCGTCTAAAGACTCGTGTAAACAGTTGGAGATAGGGAACGGGGAACGAGAGAACCACGGCAAACGCGGGATCAGCTCGAGCAAACTTCCGCGTACGACTCGAACGGGAAAACTCTCCGAGGCCCCCACGATGTACCGGCTTTCGGCTCGAAATCCTAATCGCTTGCTCTTCTAATTTGAGACTTCATTGGCTGAGAGGCTTCGATCGACGATTCAACCCCTTATCGATCTAGCAGCGGCCTTCGGTGCTCGATCGTTCCGCGTCAAACGCGACTACAATAATGTCTCTCTAATTGACGCTCAGATTGTGCACAAAAATGGATAATTTGGGAAGAGGAGATACGATTATTCGAGCCTTGCAGCTGGTTTTTTTTATAGTTGTTGACAATTCGTAATTATAAAAACAAACCGCAAGACTCGAATGATCGTATCGCCCTCTTCCCAAATTGTCCACTTTTGGGGACAATCTGAGCGTCAATTAGAGAGACATTACTGTACTACGGAATCCGTCAAAATGGCGGGTTTCTGATTTTTTAATTTACGATCGTTCATACCGTAAAGATGCATTTACGAGATATTTATTCAACTTATATGTTACTCGCGGCAAATGTTACAATAACGTTTGGAACAAAATCAAAATAAATGTCTCATCATGCTTTTATAAACAAATATAAGGCAGCTGTGTTTCGGCCGCCGTATCATAGCGTCAAGTTTCATTTCGGTAGAACAACGTTGATAAAAACGTTTTGAACAGCGAACATTGTTCCTAAAAAAAAGAGAACGGTGTAGAAAACCGTTCGACGATGAACAGATCCTGTCAGCGTGCGTCCCGTTCGTCGGGGACTTTTCCGAGGCCGACAGGGACTGGCACTCGGCTCTCGAGGCAGCACGCGCGGCCGCATGCGGGCCCAGCTCGTAACTCTCAATTTGGAGAACAGTGGGAAGCAGATGTCCTTTTCTCGCGGCCGAATTATTGGCCTAGGCCCTGGCCCCCGCTCTCTTTCATGCCGTCGCCTCGAATTAGACGCGATGCCGGCCCCGTGAAAATAATGGACGATTGATTCTCTGTGTACATTGTGCGCCGCCGGCCCTGTCGCGTGGGAATCGAGCGGTACACACCGTTCTTTCTCACACCACCGTAAAAAAAGGGGGAACCGAGAGAGTTTTATCCCTCTTTCATAGAGATACGTTTCCTTGGACCTCGGCCGTTAATGACCGAATGGGACGGAACGGAGTTCGCGCGAACGTGTTCTTCTACGCGTTCCTCGTCTACGCGCGCGCGTCTCTCTGTGTGCCTGCAGCATGCGTGTGTGTGTGTGTGTGTGTGTCTACCTAAGTGTGTATATGTTTGTGCAACGCTATCGCACACACATGATCGCGTGTGTTGACCCAGTGCCACGGTGGTCGACGTTCCTGCGCGTTTCAGACGCCGAGCGATCGCGCCGGGACGGCCTTGATTTCACGCCGGAGCTCGGCCGAGCACTAAAACCGACCGGTTCTCCGCGCTCCTCGAAAATATCGAGCTGCTCGAACCCTGCGAAAATCTCTCTCTCTCTCTCTCTCTCTCTCTCTCTCGAGAGAGAGAGAGAGAGAGAGAGAGAGTCGTCTCGAGAGATAGAGAGAGAGAGAGAGAGAGAGAGAGAGAGAGAGAGAGAGAGAGAGAGAGAGAAAGGCNGAGAGAGAGAGAGAGAGAGAGAGAGAGAGAGAGAGAGAGAGAGAGAGAGAAGGCCACCTCTCGCGATCGTCGCCGGAATTTTCTGACTCACGCGCGCAGATAATCGCCGTCGCCGTGGAAATCGCGTTAGCCGCGTTATCGGCCTCCGAGAATTCGGTCGTTTCGACAACGATCGCTCGCGGCCACGTCGTTTCGACATCGTTAAA